GCAACCAATCATTATTTAAAAAGTGATATTGGGGAATATATTCACGCAGAAAGAAAAGTCGCAGCCGCCAGGGAGAAATATTCACGTAAAGCAGAGAGGGAGCCGAAGAAAATAGCAGTTCAGGCGAGAAGTCTGATCAAACGCGGAGGGAGGCCGCACCCGCACACGAGGGAGATAATTAATCTCTCTCTTTTATTTTTATTTCTATTTAGCATGTTAGGCTAGTTTTTATTTCTAGTTCCGGGGAAGTTGAACCTTACGACTTGATGATGTTTAATTGATTTTCGTGGTTGATTATTGAGTTATCTTTTTGGAATTGTTTGTGTTATTTTGAATAATTAACCATGATGTGTGTTGAGTCTTATTTAGATTGATCACCTAGATTAGGCTTTACATATCTACACCTGAATTAGGCATTCAATCCGTAATTGTTGATGTGTTTAATTCGCAAGTGGTATCCGGAAGATGGTAACTACCGGGGATAACACGACCTATTTAAGTGAACGAATGCGTCACTACTTAGTCTAGCCTATTTTTCTAATTCGTAGCTAATTGTATTAAATCTTGAAAGCGTCTTTCTGGACTGTACAAGAAGTTAGGTCTAATCAAAAATAAGGAAAAATTCGGGTAACAGACCGTGTCGTTGCCTAGGGCTAGTAATTTCATAAGATGACGAGATTTGATATCAAAGTTGATTAGACAAGTCAGTCGAGGGTGTAGACGGAACCGTGAACTAGAAAATTCTCTTATTTATTTTATTTTATTTTTATTTTTATTGTTTTGATTTCATTTTTAGATAGATTAGTTATTAAATCAAAATCCCCCCTTTTATTGCTTTCATAATAAATTCAATTAATACAAGAATATCACAATTTGGTTCACACTTCTCGTGGGATCGACCCTTACTTGCCACTACTACTAGTTAGTAGAGGTTTGTCGAGGAAAAATATAAATATTAATTTTGCCGCGTTGCGACGCACGGTCAAGTAGTATTCTTTTGTCGCTTTTATGTGGGACCATTTGAGAAAGGGAGCTCGAATAGCGCCTTGGCTGCTCGATTTGGGACTCTCACGTTGGATTTGTAGAGCATTTTGTGAGAAGAGGAAAGTCGGTGTTGAAGGTGGAAGAATTGCAGATGATTTTGATTGATGATACCTAAAGAAAGAGAGATTCTTCTGCTGTAGCTATTTTCAGTCAAGAAATGTGGAAATTCTAGCTACAGTAAGTGTGCATTTACCTTTTTACAATTGATTATACTTGAAAATTCTGGCTTTTGAAGGACTGTGATACTAGAAAATGTGTGCTACTACTAGAATAAAATGAATCACACCTGACCTGGGTGGAATGAGTTATCTCAATTCGATCCCGAGCCTAATGATATCCGAGGGCTGCAATCTTGGCATCCAAACGCATGATGTTGGCTAGATTATGGGGTTTATCCCAACCTATCTCCTATATAGGTTGTTGATTTTAATTGTTGATGGGTGGCTTTGGTTATCTACCATCAAGGGGCATAGCCAGAAAAAAATAATAATAATAATAATAAAAAAATAAAAATTCCTTATGGGCTGCAAAATATGTTGTTGCTATTCGAACTGAGTTGTGCTCTAACATAGTTTTTTCGACTATAAAAGTTTGAGCTTGACTTTCTTGTGTATGTGAACAAGCCAAAATTGAACAACTAATCGAGCTTGTCTATCAAACAAGTCGTTTACTCGAGAGTGTTCGCGAATAATTCTGTTAGAGTTTTGGGTTTTGTTCTAGGTCTTAAAGTTTATTAAATGAATTGAACTGAGTTTATACGAGTCGAACTCAAGCTCTAATTTTTATTGTTTATTAAACAACTAAGCCACGACAACTCGTTTATAGAATGAGCACAAGTTCGTACTTCGAAATACTCAATTGGTGCTTTCAACTGTTTGTTAATGGATATTTAATGTTTGAGGGGAAAAAAAGTATGGGTTGGAGGGGTCTTATAATGTGTATTTTCCACTTGTTTTACACTTAATTTTACAAAATTCAACATTTTAGAGGATTCCCTAAAAAATAGACTTTATCTCTCTTCAAAAATCTAATTCTCAAATCATTTTCTGCTAAGCCCTAGCCGTCATCTTTCATGGGTGCGTCTCCCTCGTGCGGCCATCGTCCTCGCGCCTCTGGCGAACTTCTGGCTCGCTTCAGGTCCTTCGACGCTGGCAAGGCGGTCTCTTTGCTCTCCAGCACCGAAGTTGTTTCGCTCTGTTGCTAGTGCCATGTCGGGCGTGGTCGAGGCAAGTAGCGCCTGTTTCACCTGGTCCAATGGTGGCCACGGGCGCCTTGCGGTGGTTTGTGCCTCTGTGGTGGTAGTCTAACCATGAGTTATTCCTTGGCCTTTCCTAGTGTTGGACGGCGGGGACCTCCTGGCAAGGGCTCTAGGTTGTGGGGCGGCTTTAGAGTGTGCGTGGAGGGGGCTGTGGTGGTGGATCAACTTTTGTGGGTATGAGGTACTCTGGGGGTGGGTTTCGGTTATGCGGCTCGGTTCAGTTAACCCGTTTGGGGAGTTGTTGGTTCCAGCTTTATGGTTGTAGTTCTAGGGGCCTCTTCTCGGTTGTCCGTGCCTGGGTGTGTATTCGATTCGTATTGGCAATGGGGTTGTTGTCTGGTTTGGAGGGTGTTGTTGGTTTTTTTTTTCTTTTTTCTTTTTCCTTGTTGTGTTTCCTATTAGTAGTAGGTTGGTAGGTTTGTGTTTGTTCGGTCTTTTCAGTTCTCCGCTTGGGAACCTCTCCTCTTGTGGGAGTTTCATATAGGTTTATGTGTTTTGTGTGTTTGTTGGCGTTTGATTGGCTTTAGACTACACTTCGTGTAGTTCTCTCAAGTAGATTCAGTAGATTGGTTGGTTTTCTCAGCGAATTCGCTGTCGTTTAGTGTGTAATTTGTGTTTTCTTCTATAAAGTCCACCATTCTAAAAAAAATAAAAAATAAAAAATAAAAAATAAATAAATAAAGGATCCATTTTGCTCGAGAACCACCCTTAATCTCTCTACATATAATTTTCGAATGTGCTGAGCCTCTATGGCAGACTCGCACACTTCGGGATCATATGTGGCAATTTTTTAAGCTTTGTTGTTCAACTTGGATGAATTTTAATTTATTTTCAATTCAAAAGTAACTAGAACTGGAATATCCATGAATATACTGTATCTTTATAGTCCTTTTAAAAAAGATTAATTATGTTTTAATATCATTTTTTATTATAGACGTGGTTTATAAGGTATTTTTTTCAATCTTTCTTTTTTCCTCATATTTTTCTTAGATTATAACAAATTTAAAAGATAATATTTTTTGTTTATTAACATTTTTTTTATATATAGTATATCAAACTTATCATGTCTTGATGAATTTTAATTTGACATTTATATATACAACAAAATAAATAAATAATTTTATGTATCTCATTAAAATTAAATTATCCATTAATATTAATTCAAAAAAAAATAAATTATTTAATCTAATTTAACTACAAATCAGTTATCTAATATAAATGAAAAAAAATTATAAGTAAGTCACGTAAGTGACGGTGTCATTTTAAATGTTAATAAAAATAGATTTTTTTAAAATATTATTTTAAAATTAAAACATTTTTATTGTTAAAAATATATATATAATTACTAGCTAATAACATTTAATAAAACCTATTTAATTTTACCTATGTGGCAATTTAACTTTTTTTCCTCCAAAAACCGTTACTTTTGATGTATTTAATCTTTCATTTAATTATTAAATAATCAACACTAATCACTTCAAAATTATAAAAATCATTTTAAACTTTTGATTACTAACAGTTGACCATATAATGTGTTGACCGAATAATATGATTAGATGTTATTATTACGGTTACATTTAAATTATTTTTTTTTAAATAAAAGACGTAATTAAAATTCCTAAATAAATAATAAATAATTCACAAAAAAAGACGTACCAAAATCCCCCATCCCCATCCCCATATATATTAATACAGAACGCGCTGAGCCTACATGGCTGCTTCTGGTGCTTCGGAATTCTATGTGGCAAAATTACATGCTTCGTTATTAGGATTGGGTAAACTTTAAAGAAACAAAAAATAATTAGGTTCGGATTACCATAAATATGTTGATTATTTATGGTCATGTTACATGTATTAATTTTATTTTAATATCATTCCTTATTATAAGTATTGAATTTTATATATTTTAAAAGTTAATAACTTTTGTATTTTTTATCAGTTTTACATATGTAATATATCAAATTAATCTTCTTTTGATGAGCTTCGATTTAACATCCATATTGTATGTATAAAAAAATAATTTATATTTATCTTTTATAACAATAATAAAATTATTTTTAATATTAATTAGAAAAATAAAATTATTTATCAACTAATAAATTTATATTTCAAATAGTTATATGATATAAGTTATAAAATCTAATATAATATAACACATGTAAGTCATAAGTAACACATCATTCTAAAATATATAGTAATATATTTTTTTGGTAAAAAAATAAACTAAATTTAATATAGTTTTCTCATTAATTTTAAAATTTAAGAATAATTTTTTAACAAGCACCCTTGTAATACACGAGTGTTGTACTAGTATACATTACATCAAATCAGATAAAAGTAATTTAGAAAAAAAATATTTTAACTCCTTTGTAAATTTGGCCAGCAAAAAGATGAAGAAAAATAATTAATCGTTATATGCATATATATAACTCATAACACTTTATTTACAACTGTGCAAATGCACATGATCGAATACTAGTCAGTATTTAATTTTAAGTATAATACGACTTTTCTAACAAATAGCAGCAACATTTATGCTAATTCGTGTTCTACTGAGCTCCACCCTTTTGGCAATTCGAGTGAGCCAAATGATTTCTGATCCGCTTTTGTTTGTTAACGGAACCTATACAGCTAACTGAGCAGAAGCTCGAATCTCCCATTTCCAGATAGCTCCAGGAGCGCTAGTTCTTCGGTAAAAATGGGGCTGGGTCAACTCGCTTCACGAGCCCTAATCCGATCAACCCGACTGGCCACCACCAAACCCTCCCGCATCGCCCTTCGCACCATCGTCTCCACGCCGGACCTCCACAACGCCGACGCCGCTGCTGCTGCGGCGGCGCAGACGGAACCAGATCTTTACAAGAGGAACCCGGTGGCCGGCGCCCGGGTCCACTTCCCGAACCCTGATGACGCCATCGAGGTGTTCGTTGACGGGTACCCTGTGAAAATCCCCAAGGGAATGACCGTGCTGCAGGCTTGCGAGATTGCTGGCGTGGACATCCCGCGATTTTGCTATCACAGCCGCCTCTCGATTGCGGGAAACTGCCGTATGTGCCTAGTTGAGGTCGAGAAATCGCCCAAGCCGGTAGCCTCGTGCGCAATGCCTGCATTACCTGGTACACTACTTGTTTTTGTGTTTTTTTCTTTTTAAGTTTTTTATCTGGAGATCGGGGCTTGCGAATGTTGGGAGATTTCTATATTTGGCTTTGCAGTATTTTATTGGAGCATTTTGTACGTATCATTGAAAATCCTTGTTGATTGCTATCAATGCTTTTCGCTGTTGATATGGACCAGTTACGTGGTGTTCCTTTAACTTAATTTTTCATGCTACGGAATCGCAATTTTAGCTACTCCTGCTGCGATTGATCCAGGATTTGATTTTGGTCGATTATTTGGATATTCTGTTTATGTGGTGCTACAATTAGGTCTTGCTACTACTATCAAGGAAAAGGCTTGAATCTCTCGAGTGATTGGAAAATCTGTATAGAATTAGTTGAAAGGATCTCTCCTGGTCCTGCAAAAATTGTATATATGAGCTTAGAAATTTTTCGCCTTTGGTTGCTAGAGATAGGAACTTATGAAGTTGGCATTTTGATTTATAAATGTCTCATCTTAGGCTTGAGCTGGGGATTTTGGAATATTTTAGCTTGAGGTTTCTGTTTTTTCTCCTCATGAATTTGTTGGCATAAGATTATGTGTTTCCCTTGTTTGTAGCTTTACATTTTCGATACTTAATATTTCTTTTGTCTTCTTTGTATTCTGAACGTGTCTGTCAATAGGAATGAAGATTAAGACGGATACACCTATAGCGAAGAAGGCAAGGGAAGGAGTGATGGAGTTCCTTTTAATGAATCATCCACTGGACTGCCCAATTTGTGATCAGGGTGGTGAGTGTGATCTTCAAGATCAATCTATGGCTTTTGGTTCTGATCGAGGTCGTTTTACTGAAACGAAGAGATCAGTGGTTGACAAGAACCTTGGGCCCTTGGTCAAAACCGTGATGACTCGATGCATTCAGTGTACAAGGTGCATTATAATTTTGTTGTTTTAGTTTTGCATCTAGTTAATGCTTGGAGCAGCTGGTAGCTGTGTATATTTATGAACTTCATCAAAATGTCGTTTCCCATTAGGTCAAGCTTGATATCTCATTGTTTCATTGCAACCTCAATAAAAATCGAGAAGATTAGTGATGATAACACCTAATTGATCCAGACTTAAAGGTTTGTGATTCTTGGAGATTTTCATCTGATATATGTCTCGGTGAACTAGGATCCTGAAAGGGACAGTTTCCAGTTTCATTTCATTTAAGTTTAAATATCGAAGCTCTGGCTGATAGTGAACTGTCGTACCTGGCAGTTTAATTGTTGGCTACTAAGAGAATACTTGACTTTGTCAGTTCATGTTGAAAAACAGCGTCATGTGATTATGTCAGTAGTTTAAGTTCATGAGATTGTTGAAATCCTATATATTTAGGCATTGTTTTAAAATGAATCTTCCATTTACGGGGTACATCTCGTATGGTGAGGCTCGTTGTTCCATATAGCAATAATATATTTTGATCGTGTTAATTGGTTGACAATTAGTAGCCCGTCCTTCAAAATTTAATGATTGACTTATTCTAAAATATCTGGAACTATTCAAGTGATAAGTTTGATAAAATATAGTGCCATTACTGTTGTGTTAAAAATCTGTTGATTTCTCTACTCTCAGCTAGACCAGCTAATCCCCTTTGACATTTTGTAATTTTAAATGTATGCCTTGTGAAACTAGAATGAATATTAATAGCACTGAATCATGATTTTAATTGCCATGACCAACAAATAGGTGTGTAAGGTTTGCAACAGAAGTAGCTGGTGTTCAGGATCTTGGAATGTTGGGTCGTGGAAGTGGCGAGGAAATTGGAACTTATGTTGAACGGCTCATGACAAGTGAATTGTCTGGCAACGTGATAGATATTTGTCCAGTCGGAGCCTTGACCTCAAAACCTTTTGCCTTTAAAGCCCGTAACTGGGAGCTGAAAGGAACTGAGAGCATTGATGTGACCGATGCTGTTGGTTCTAATATTCGCATTGATAGTAGAGGCCCTGAGGTTATGCGGGTTGTTCCTCGATTGAATGAGGTATCCATCTTTGAAGAATTTTCTTCTCTCATTCTTAATTTTGGGCGAAAGGTTTGTTGATAATAACCTGATATTTATAGCATTTGTTGAGTAAGTGCTAGTATATTGATTATCCCATAGCTGGCTTATCCTTGTATTATCAAATGTATGTGTAAGTTCTGTTACATTGAAGTGTTTTATTCCTATATTTGCGTATTTTTTGGATTTGTGAAGTATCACATGCATATCAGTTTCCATCACTAGTAGAAATACATTCTTCAATATCCGAAGATAGCCTGTTTCAACTATTTACGAATCAACTATCTCTGAACTTTGGCAATAATGTGCTTTTGGTTTTTGTATGTTCTGATTAAAGGTAGACATTTAGTGAAACATCTCCAACACATACCTGGTATTTTAACTTGATTCACTTGGGGTCTCGAATAAATATTTTACTTCTTTTTCTGGAGCTGATTACATATCTACAGGTTTTTAACAGTTCTTACCCATAAACTGGGTATAGAACTATAGGTACTTGAACATGTTGACCAGTCACCATTGTATGTACTGTTTCAATTAATCTTACTGCAACAATAGTGAGTTTGTTTGTGATAATTGCAGGACATCAATGAGGAGTGGATATCAGACAAGACACGATTCTTCTATGATGGTCTGAAGAGGCAGAGGCTAAATGACCCGATGATTCGCGGTGCAGATGGACGCTTTAAGACTGTAAGCTGGCGGGATGCCCTTGCTGTTGTGGCAGAGGTCATCCACCAAGTTAGACCGGAAGAAATTGTTGGTATTGCTGGAAAACTATCTGATGCAGAATCTATGATGGCTCTAAAGGATTTCTTGAACAGGGTGGGATCAAATAACATCTGGTGTGAAGGAAATGGTCCGAACCCTAATGCTGACCTGCGTTCTGGATATATAATGAATACTAGCATCAGTGGTTTGGAGAAAGCTGATGTTTTCCTTCTTGTTGGTACACAGGTAAAATTTTGCTATCTAATTGATGTTTTTATGATTTGACATTTAAAGAACATTTACTGCATCTACTGGGTTCCAGGTTTGATTCTGAAAAATTCTTAGCTATATTCCCCTTGTCCCCTGTAAAATTGTTTCATATATGCTGCATGGACTGTTAATTTTCTCAATCAAATAGTCATTTATGAAGTGTATAAACCACTATTTTTGTTTATGAAACATGTTCTTGAATCTTGACAATAGAAAGTCTTTCTTTTTGGCTTGAACTGTGGAAAATTGAACTCCAACTTTCCATTCCAAAATTGTACTCTATGATCAACTGTAATTTCATTCTTACCGTTCTCCTCATCCAATTAGTTAGCAGCTTCTCGCAATATATAATCACCCTTGCCTTTTTAAAAACCAAATGGAAAAAGGAAGGAAGGAAGAAAGAAATATGATGAGAAAAATAATCAGGAAATTACCGCAAGCGAAATCTTTTGTCATGAATGAATATCTTTCTTCCTCTCGTCTATTATTTGTCATGCATACTAATTGTAGAGGAATTAATTGCCACAGCCAAGAGTAGAAGCTGCTATGGTGAATGCCAGGATCCGCAAAACCGTCCGGGCCACCAATGCCAAGGTCGGTTACGTGGGCCCCCCAGCCGACTTCAATTACGACCACGATCACCTCGGCACGGGACCCGGCACGCTCTCTGAGCTCGCCGAGGGTCGCCATCCCTTCAGCTCCATCCTCTCGACCGCAAAAAACCCCGCCATAATCGTTGGCGCCGGCATTTTCGAGCGCAAGGACAAGGATGCCATCTTCTCCACCATCGAGAAAATCGCCCGAAACTCAAATGCCGTCCGGCCAGACTGGAACGGGCTCAACACCCTCCTCCTCAACGCTGCCCAGGCTGCCGCCCTCGACCTCGGGCTTGTGCCGGAATCAGGCAGCAGCATCGAGGCCGCCAAGTTCCTCTACCTCATGGGGGCCGATGATGTCGACTTGGAAAAACTGCCGGACGATGCATTCGTGGTCTACCAAGGCCACCACGGGGACCGAGGTGTGTACCGGGCAAACGTGATCCTGCCGGCCTCGGCCTTCAGCGAGAAGGAGGGCATTTACGTAAATACGGAGGGCTGCGTTCAGACGACAGTGCCTGCCGTGCCCACTGTTGGGGATGCGAGGGACGACTGGAAAATTGTTAGGGCGCTGGCTGAGGTGGCGGGGATTGAGATGCCTTACGACACTCTTAATGAGGTTCGGTTCCGGATGAGGAGTGTGGCGCCGAATCTTGTGCAGTTTGACGAGAGGGAGCCGGCTGTGTTCTCGAGCTCGGCCCTGAGGCCCGAGGTGAAGGAGAAGATGGATAAGGCGCCGTTTGGTGTTGCTGTCGATAATTTCTACATGACTGACTCGATTACGCGAGCGTCGAAGATCATGGCCCAGTGCAGCGCATTATTAAAGAAGTGATTAGTCGATTTTTGGTAATTTTGAATAAGGCACCGTTTGGGCTTTACTCTTTTGGCATGTTTGTTTCGTTGAATTTGTTAAATTGGAGTATGTGAAATGTAACCTTGTTACACCGTGCCATAGTGCTGTGCTCATAAAAATGGCAGAGATTAATTTGTTATGTTATGGAATACCTATTTGTAACTTGTTAACTGCTGCTGTTGTGGGATCATAAAATGATGCTATGTTGCTTTGTTTATGTTGCTTTGTTTATATTGACCAAGGAGTTGTGCATGGCTGTTATTTCGTTGAAAATTGAGCATGTTGATTGTTGACCGACGTACAAAAGCAGGACAATAGCTACATATAGTATGCAAAATATTTATTTTTTGCTACATACGACTCAACAATGTTTTTTTAATTCAACTTCACTATCATCAATATTATCATCATAATTAAATAATATCAATCAATCATTCTTACACATCACATCAACTTTCATTTACTTTTCATAACTCACATAATTTTAATTAACTATCACTTCCACCACTTTTTTTTTTGTACTTTTACTACAATCAACTTTAATTATTTTATTTTAAATACTATGTTAATATGATCACTAACAATTAACCATACTACATTTTTCAAAATTAATCAAACCAAACTAAACTCCAAACAAAACAAAAAATTCTTATATCCAAGCAACAACCACATTATAATCTAAATAAGATGTTCAATTTTCATGCAACACTGCTACCTCTTTGCAACACATTGAAATGTAGGTGGGGGAGTGAGTACGGAAATGTGTGTTTAAACACGAAAGCGGAAGCAATATTTAAATAAAAATAATCTTCGGTGACTTCCTACTACCCATCAGAGAGTTTTCTTATTAATAGATCGGTTTGCGCGTACAAAACATTATACCCGACTCTATTAATTACTCCCCTACTCACAACGTGTGGACTTCGAAATAGCTATGGATCACTCATATCTACAAAAGTACTTATTTCCTAAGCACTCAAAAAGTTTGTGATCAAAGAATGAAAACAATTTTTCTGCAATGTAAGACAATGAAAAATTACTTAAAACAAAAGAATCTAAAACAACTCACGAACACTCAATAAAAGTCTGGAATGATAAATCTCGATAAATGCAGCATCAACCAATCAATGTGTCATCGATCACCTATGTATGCAATCTCCTCAAAGATAAGTAGTCTTTTCATTCTCATGCATTGACTCATTTCCATGTGAGGTTGATTTCCTTCCAATTAACTTTCTAGTTTGGACGTGTTTTTTT